CTGCCTTATGGTGGAAGAGTCTGTAGCACATTTCTAAGACGTTCAGCATCATTCTACTTTATTCAAAATGAGATTTTTCTGCAGTTGGCTGGAAATTGCAAATCCAACTAATGGCATTGTATCGTCTTCAGAGATTGCAAGTTGATGAGTTCTTTACTTTAAAAAAGCTTTTTTAGTGGGGCACATGCCCGTAGTTTCACATTGTTGAGAAACAAGGAGGTTAAGTGATTTGCTGTTTTATTCTCTCTTCATAATTAGGTATTGATCCCAAACCAAACCTTTGCCTTGAAAGCTCCTTGGGGGTTTATCCTCAATAAGTATCTGATTCCCTCCAAGAAAGATTGGTGTGCTTCAAACCAGGATATACAGAAAGTGACAACAATTAAAATATTTCTTTATGTTTTTTCACAAGCCTTCTTGCTTGCCAGCTGGAAAAATACAAATTGTCAGTAACCTCCTGACTTTCTAATGACAGTCATTTTGTTCATTTCTTTCTGTTTGTGGTTTCTCTGCTCTTTGATAATGAATGTCTTCTACCTGTGTTTGCCTTACAGATTCCTCTTCCAGTTTTTTTTTTTAATTCTCATGATCTTTGAAATCTGCATCTTGGTCCCTTTGAATTCAGTAAAAAAATTCCGGCCAACTTCAGGCCTTTAAAGCTTGAAGGAGGGCCCTTTAAAGCTCTAGACTGCCACTGACTAAGACACATTGATTTTCTCTTGGCATATCAAGGTTGGAAAACAAAATGGTGAATCCAGGGGAAGAATGCATTTCTCATCCAGTGCAGAGTGTTTGTATTAAGACCCTTAAGGAAAAAATACTCAAGTGAACAGACTGTCATTTCACTGCCTAAGTGGACATTCCTTATGGGATGACAAGCCAAGATGGAACATGCTTTACCCATACGTTCTCTGCTGCTGGAGCAACATGGCAGTGAAGGTAGCACTTGCTGACAAGTTGCTGTCAGGTTGTCAGACCTCACTGATAAGGGTGGATGGTGACCAGCTGAAATCACAGGTGCTGCACACCCCCTCCCCATCAACCTGGCTGCTTTGAAACTGTGATGCTGCACAGGCTGGTGAGGATTCGGGTTAGTGCCCCATCAAGTAGGTACTCTGCAAATACACTGAAACATTTGGTTTCAACATGAGTATTTTTGGCATAATGCAGGACAAAATGATAACTATAAACTGTGGGACTAGGCACTCAGATCTTTCCAATAGGAATGAGCAAAGTAGCAGCAGGTTACTGCATGGCTAAGTGATTTCCCTTAGGAAGTTCCAAAGCAATAGATATTTTTTTATCTGTAAGGCAGTTTCTGTTTTGCAAAGATGTGAGGAATACAGGTAGGACAAAGGGCTGGAGATGTGGAGATCCTTATTTCCAGGTAGGAATTGACTTAGTGCAATGCGTTGTCTTTCATGAAACAAGCTCTGAAAAAACAAGAACTTGAGCATAGCACTGAGCCCCAGGCCAGTGCCCTCACTGTGAAACAAACCTTCCACTTGATTTTCAATTGTAAATTAACTTCCCCGGTATGGCAGATGGATCCTACAGAGGTCAGTTTTCTATAAGGGAGTGGCAACCCCTTTTTCATTCTCGGTGTTTCACAGCCATCGGGGTTGGTGCTTTTGCATTTTTATTAAGCTGCCCATCAAACAATTGGTGCTTTACAGTGATGAGCAGCAAAACTGTCACTATTATGTGGACAAGAGAAGGACCCAGGACAGTGTTTAAAAAGTGATTTCCCCAAAGTCGCACAGTATTACTGGCAAAATAATGGGGTGGAACCTGCAGTGTTAGCCTCATGCTCCAGCTGCCACAACAATGATTTCCCTCAGAGAACTGATCTTTATTTTGAAGTGAGTCACATTTAATGTTACAGATGGGGAAAACTGACACTTAAGAGAAGCGATCTAGTCCTGTAAGTTATTCCTGTGCTTGGATAGAGACTGCCTAGAAGGTTTTTCAAAGTAAGGCACTGAATTCCCATTTATTTTAATGCAACTCAGAGTGCTAGCTGTGTTATTTAACTTCACATACCATCTGATCAGGGAACTCCATTTATCCTCAATGGAAAGAAAGGAACTGAAGGTGGTTCCCTCAGGTGTGCATGTCTGCGCTGAAAACTTCCACACTTCGGTGAGCTAACTCCGAGTATGTGAGGGGGGTTAGATGCAGTTGGAGTTTTTACCTTAAATATTTGTTTGTATCGGGATGACAGTGCTGGTGACTGCAGACATAAGATGCCCAGATTCACACCTGAGGTAAGTGCTTGCATACTGCTTCAGTGTCTTAGAAGACCACTTAGTTGACAACACAGTCCAGAGTTGGGTAGGAAGTACCATGAAATTAGAGTTATAATTTGACCATAAATTAACTTCATGAAACTTAAGAACTAGTCTGCTGACGTTATAATGCTATTACTTGCTTTCCTGGTTCTTTGGTCAAGGGCAGCCTTGCTTTTTAAATTTTCTGTATATAACATAAAACCATCTAAAATTCAGCCTCTACTGGGGAAGTTTTGATTTGCTTCTCACTGAGTCTAAAAAAACAAAAAAGAGATGTGAGCCATGTTTGATACACAAACACCTGGACTTTGATTTTTAAAAATGAAATACATAAACAGGTAATAAATCAGGCTATTAAGGCATTATACTTGAACATTAACAATATACAGATCCTTTGGTTTTACAGAGATTTTATCTGTATTATAGAATGACATAATTTTCACATTACATAGACTTTATCTGTCCTCAACTTTTCACAGAGGAAGCTCACATTAATTACCCCACGTTATTAACGTGCATCTCACTGTTCCATTCACAAATCTTCAATTAGCAGATGGGAATGTATATTTTGCTGTTTATTCTAAACATCAAGCAGCTGAGCAAGTGAAAGCAAAAACTCTTAAGGTGGAAGATGATTATTAAAATACAGTTTTCTTATCAGGTTAGTTTTTAAAGCTGAAAAAAAGGTGACAATTGACATTTACCCTAACGAGTCCCTTTCCAGCATGTTCACATTTTCTCCACACGCTGACACACTCCTCTGACCCCTTGTTTAACACTGTTGTCCCTTTTGCACTTCCCTCTGCCATCTCCTTGCACTCCACACACACACTTGTGTAACACTCTCCTGCCTCTTCTCCTCTTCCCAAATATTTTCCTTCAGCTTTCACATGCTCCCCTCTCAGTTACCCGTGTTTTCTGCTGCCCCTCAAGTTCCTTTTCCCTTGTCCCATTTTTCTCCTGTGCCAGGGGCTGTCGGAGGTGACCGTTTCCCAGAGGATGCTTCACCTCTTCGTATTTGGGAGAGAAGACTGAGCGGCCTCATTCCATATGGACCATCTGTGAGTGACAACCCAGGACAAGATAATGTCGCCCTGGAGGCCAACTTAATTTAGGAATTTTTCACAACTTTTTACAAATAGACCTAGTTTAATCTAGTGGAATATTTATGAGAGTTAGTGACACTGCCAGGGGCAGGAGTTCAGGGGAAAGCAAGATCCTTAAAGTTTCCTAACCCCTGACTGACTTAGTAATTAATTTGTGCCTTAGTGTGTTACAGCTCACATCTCATTTTGTTTGTTCTTCTGTAATCCACACTCCACAGTAATGGAAATTCTCATAGGCACAAAAGTATTTAAGCTTATCTTTTAATCCTGTCCTTGGCCTTAGCTGTAGCTTATCAAATGAAACTAATTATTAGGGTTTGAGTGTGACAGAAGTCTTCAAGAACTCGAAAATCCATCCAGCAGTGTATTAGATTGTTGTTTAAAACCTGTGCCAAATCTGTGATTTAACTCGTCTTCACTGAACTAATGCAAAGATGGATGGTCAGCTGAGCAAGCAGGGGAAGCGAGAACTGCTGCACCTGTAAGGCTGTATTTAGTACAACATTTCAAGCCCTAAAGATAACTGTTTGTGTCCTTTAAAATCACAAACAGTGAGTCAGAGAGAGAGAGAGATTTAAACTGTAGGAGCTCATCATTTCCACCTCCGAATCTCTTTTGTTGAAACTGGCTCACAGGATGATGCTATGGTTGTACGTATGCTATAAACAAAACCAGCAAACTCTGCTCTTGGTGTCAGATGCGACAGTGCTCCAGCCAGCGGGGAACTGAGGGTCTCAGGAGCTCCCACTGAAGCGATGAGAGCTAGGAACGCATCTGCAGGATTACTCCAGGGCAGGTTACCCCGGGGATGGCTTTTGGCACGCTGTACCGAATGCTCCTCCAGAAAACAAATGCTCCAACAGCTTTCATGGTCGAAGAGCCGTTATACCTCAGCAAGCCACAGCCTAAGTGCGCAGTTCCTTTTGCTAAGCGATTCCTTCACTTGTCCTTGTGCTATTTCTGGTACACAGAAGGCATCTGTCACTGACTGCCATATTCCCACCCCACCTCTCCAGACTAAGGCTGCTCGACTCCTTTTCGAGCTTGTGTTTGAGGAGTTGGAACTCCACCTCTGACAGGGCATGGAACTGTAGATCTCTATAAGACATTTTGATAGCATCTACTTTATCATATTTTCCTGGCATTCCATATTTCTTGCTACCCATATGGTTTTCTGTCTGTACTGCTGGAAAGCTACACTCTCAGCTGCATTTATTTGGTAACACTTTGTGTTCAACCTATGGTTTTCTTTGATGGCTGTTTTACTGGTAGAGGCAAGAGTGTGCAGATAGATTGCATTAAAAAGTCAAAAGCATAAGAAAAAAAATAATAATAAATCCTCTTTTAATTATAACTGTTTCCCTGAAAATAAGTTTAGTTTACATGTTTAGTAAACTAATGTTTTAAATGTTTAAACATGTTTTATTTAGTACATAAATCTATTTCCTCTAAAGTGGAAATTCTTGAAAAAAAATAGGGTTTTTTTTTTGTTGTGTAGCTTAAAGACAATATTGGAGAGTTGCTTAAAAATATATACTTAAACCTCTGTATTTGACGTAAGATATGCTGTGACAACCCCACGTGCTGCATTCCTACTCATTTGGACCCCTGAGCGAGCCCAAGTTTCGACCTGTGTTGTGAAACCATCGCTGCATTTCAGCGAGTTGCAGCTCCCTGGTTCTCCACCTTTGCAGCAGAAGAGGGACGCGCATTGTCCCTCCCGCTCCACATCATCGACACAGGATTTTCAGCGGAGTTGTTGGTGCTGAAGAAAGGAACTCGCCAGCCACAGCAACACTGCAATTGTTTAATTTCACGACGGAAAGTTTTGCTGAAGATGTAGTAAATAAAAGGGTTATACGCTGTTGAAGATTTGGCAAACAGACAGGGCAGCAGTGTAACAACGGGCTGTAGGGAATCACTGGAGTTAAATATGGACCAGAAGCTGGCTGCTGCATACGGTGTCCAGGAGCTCAGGAACCCCACAGAGATGAGCACAGCCATCTGAAAGGGAAACAGGGCTTCAGTTCTCAGCTTCACTGACAGGATCTGATACTTGGGCACATGGTGTGTGGGGGGAAAATCACACCTCAGGCAGCTGAGATACCTGGAACTGTATGTTTGCTGCGGTCTGACAGGAGCACAGGTAACACTGCACAGTGCCTGTATGCTTTTGTTCCCACCTAGCACATCTACAATGGGTTTCTTATGAGTCCATTGTTTTCATCTTCTTCCCTGACTCTGGCTGCAATATGTCATGGGAGACACAACCCAGCCAGATAGTTTAGCCTTTCAATAGACTGGTCTCTGGAAAGCTTGGGTCAATTCTGATTTTCCACAAGAAATGAGCAACTAAAGTGCATATCTGAAAAAAAAAGTTATATTAAAAATTCCCATTTCTATCCGGAATTTCTGTGTAGCTCTCACTCAGAATAGCCACTCAGTCAATTAAAAATACCTAGGATGACAGAACAAGACCTCCACCCCAGCTACAACATGAAAGGATTCAACAACTATTCCAGTAAGACTGGAAATCTATTATGTCCATTAAGTTCTTGGATGCAACTGCCTACAAATTTAACAAGCTGCATTGTACCCATAATATATTATCCTGATCAAGCTACTGAACTGATAAGGATTCTAGAAGCCCCCTACTCCTCTGAGGAGTGCAGAGTATGGGTGAGACTCGAACCATAGCTTCCTCTTTGGTCACTACCAAACAAAGCAAAGAAGGGTCTTCATGAGCCATGCATGAGCAGAACCAGTTCTCTGCAAGCTCCTGATTACTCATCACTGGGATAACTCACCAATGTCAGCTTCTTCTCCAGTTTAGCTGCATTAGGGATCCTGTCAACATTCTGGATCTCTTGGTATGCTTTATGAACCTTCCAGGCAATTCCCAAGTAACAGGTAACGATGGTCAGTGCAGGCAGGACTGTGCACAGGAGGAACATGCTCAGGATGAATGAAAAGCCGTTGGAAGAGTTGTGGAACTTGCTCCAGGCGATTGTACAAGAGATGCCAAATGGCTCAGGGCCATAGTAGCCCCAGCCTACCAAGGGCAGAACGGCCCAGAGCAAGGAGTAGAGCCAGATGAAGGTAATCAAGATGCGAACAGTGTTCTTGGTGATTTTGTTACCTGCAGAAAAGAAGAAGACCAACCATATACGGATCTCACCTCAGTCATAACTTTTCAAACAGAAGGGTGGTGGCTACAAATATACCCGGGATTCTGCTGCTGAAGTTCCTTTACCTTTGGTCTTCTTGAGAAACGTAACAGAGCGTCCATGGATTAGGTGACACCTGAGTGCAGCCCTCAGTGCTATTCTAAAGTTTAGTAGGTCAGGGAGCTTTACAGGATCAAGTTGAGCCCAACTGTACCATGTTCCCAGCCCCGGAATGCCAGGAGAATATTCCTTCCTCTCAAATTCCAGTATGTCTGCTTGCACACAAATAGGAAGACAAGACAGTCTTGTCTAGTGAACATTTGGGGTCTCCACTCTCAAGTAGTTTCACTTGGTGTTACAGAGAAGTAAGAAACCTCATTGTTTAATACAGAATTTAATCAGGTCCTTCTAGGAACATTAGGGCTTGATGTTGGACTTAAAATTGAGGCTTGCTCCTACAACTAGTGAACTGATACTCCATGCCATATTCCACAAAGTATTTCTCTGAAAGTAATAGCCCAAATGCACCACTACAAGGTTACCAGAAACAGAATTACTTACTGTCAGATTTGGATGAATTGGTGACAAGAAATCGAATCACAGCCATGGCACACAGGGTCATCATGCTGCAGACACCAAAAAGAAAACCCATCAGGGCATAATATATGCAGGACGCATCTCCTCCCAGCCAAGCGTGGTTCCAGGCGGATGCAATGGCCAGCGGATACATGCTGATTGCCATTCCAATATCTGCTACTGCCAAGTTGACTGTAAGCAGCTCTGGTGACTTCAGGAGGGAAGAGCGTTTCACAGCTGTAGCAAGGACAACTGAATTGCCAAGGATTGTCAGGATGGCTGAAAGAGAAGAATCAGCACAGACAATAATACCTCATAGTTTACACACCTGTGAAACCTGTTGACTATACAAATGATATGAAAAATGCCAGTCATTGGCCTGGGACTGAAGTCTGGAAGACAGGACGGACCGGGAGACCAGCCAGAATTCAGCACCTGCCTGGCTAACAGAGCACCACCACGCTCTGGTGGTTGAAAACCCGCCGGTGTGTACCTGCTGTGCCCTGCTATGAAGCCGTGCTCCTCAGCTCACGGCGAGGGAACCCGGTCTCCTAGACAGCAGGTAGGACATGCCACCTGGATGGCATTCCTGAGAGCTGCCCCACTGCTCGGCATCCCCACCACAGCATCCGCTGTTTTGCTTCAGCCAGCTCTTGGATTTCAATTCCTGCCTCCCTGCAGGGATTTCCCAGTCAGGCTGTGTTTCCATTATGGACCTGTTAGAGCAAAGAGTGCTTCAGATTTCTGTTCACAGCCTCCTGTAGTGCTGGCCAGCCTTACTGACTGGGGGAGATTTTGTCATATGAATAGCAGACCATATCTCACCCCTTCACATCACCACACTATAGCTCTTCACTTCCATGTCACACTCCGTTCCCCAGGCACTATATCCCACCTGTTCCCCCACGGCTCCTACCTCATGCGAGCAGCCCACACCCGTTCTCTCCATCCTTACATTATCCTGCACAACACACTATCAAGTAAAATGGGCCTATTCGCTTTCTTTTTTCCCTGGTAATATCCTCACTTACTTCTCCTTCCTACTGAAGAACTCCAGCTGTGCTGCCTGCTTGTCCCCTCCTCTCATCTGATGCCCTCGGCTTCCCAAACCCTTCCCTCTCTGCGATGTATCTTCCACTGGAGCCCCAGCACAAGCCTCCTGGGCTCTGAGCAGCCTCAGTAGTCCACATGGGCTGGCTGGGCAGCTCAGGGCTCTCCCTGATCAAGTGGTTCAGAATCACTCTGTGCCACAGTTCAGACACCCACACTGTTCTGGTGCTCTCTGAGTGCAGTGAGACAGACCATAGAAACTGTTTAGCCAGAAGCATGCAGCAGGCTGGAGATTGCTCTGCAAAAGGACCCACTGGACACATGTTATTCAGCTATGCCATAGGGCTTCAAAGCATTCAGGACGACAGTGTCAACAGTCCAAGTAGCAAACAACTAGAAGAAATTATTCCCTCTTTTTTTTTTTTTTTTTTTTTTTTCCCAAGAGAACATTGTGCTGGAGCTACACTTTGATCAAAGGTTTTCCTGAGAAGCTGCCCTCTAAAGTCAGGAATTAAATAGAGAAACAGAAGAAGACTCTGTCATGTTCCCTTGTCACTGTTATTGCAGAAAGGCTGCATTTGCTCACAGATGCCACATAATAAAGTGCCCACAGAGGAATTAATAAAGGCACATGCAACAAAATGGAATAAATACATTGGCATAAATCCAAGAATGGGCAGAGATCCCAAGACAAAGCTTAGACAGCACAGAGGTACAAATCTGAGACCCCACATCCCTCTTTCATTCCCTTTCTGACCACACACATTCACTTGGCACCTCTGAATATGCTTGAAGAGTTCTCTGAGCTCTCAGTTGTATGTCTGCACACCCAGAGATGCCCATGGTGGCTTGGCATGGGGCTGTTTGCTGACAGATGGCAACCCGTGGCTTGGTGAGGAGAGCACTCTCCTGCCAAACAACAGCCACAGGTTGGGACATCCTCAGGCTTCGGGGGGAAAACGAACCCAGTTCACTTTCTTCTGTGAGAGCTGTAACTACTACACAAAAGGTAGGAAGTAGCTCTTAGCATCGGGGAGGACATCCAGGCCCACCCTCTTTTTTATTTTGACAGATACTATTCCCCTCCATCCCGCTGCCTATGAGGCTGCTGGATGGCACAGGACAAATCTGTGAGATGCATCGATGTACTTAACTTTTGTATGAGAAAACAGCTGGTATCCTGACTTGTATTAAAAAAAAAAACCCTTCGTTGTTTTCCACATAGTGATTTTTCTCACCCAGGTCTCTGCTGTCAACACAACTGAGGGAGCAGTGCAGGGAAAAGTGTGCAGGAACAGGGGTGAGATGTGAAATGCTGAAGTTCAGCATTGCTGCTGAGAGGCTCTGTATTAAAACACATAAAAATATACGCTTGTCTTCTTTTTTCAAATGATCTGAATGGAAGAAGGTACTCGCATCTTAGCAAAATTCAGTTGGACTGCATGCCTAAACCAGTTCTGCTCCTCTCCAAATCTACACATCACCTGGGTACATGCAACAAACAGACAAGGAAGAAAAAGCTTAGCTAAAGCCATGCTGGAGCAGACTGGTAGATATGCCCACTTGTATTTCACTGTAAATCTGTCTTCAGCAGGGCAAACAGGCCATTATAAAATCCAAAAATGCTATTTGGAAACCCTGTGCTATTTTATACCAGTTTGTCCTACCAAGACACAGCTGCTCCTTATGCATAATGAACATCCCCCCCTGAGGGTCAGACCAGAGTTGCTCTCCCCTATCAGTCCCATGAAACAGGCTGCCTCATCTCTCAGTTCGCAGGGCTGAGATGCCGGGAGAAGTGGCAGACAACTTATTTTAAACACTTGTGATGCCTCAGAGGCAAACTTATGCTGGCAAGCCTTCAGCATTGAAACAAAAGATTGTAAATCTGAGAGCGGAGATTAATCCTGGCATCCAACCAACTCAAAGGCGATAAGCAGGAACCTGAGTGGAAACAGATAATTCTATCATTTCCCTCCAGCTTCCTCTGGAGCTGCCGCTGCTGACCGCAGCACTAACAGGGCAGCCCCACTGTGTCCGCTCCTAGGCTTGAAGCAAACAGGCAGGTTTGAAGGCAGAACTCACCTATGATCAGAAGAAAGACCCCAGCTCCGTAATCCACAACCGGGTGGAGTTTGGAAATGTATTGCTCCTCCATCATCCCTTGTGGAAGTGGGTGAAGGTTTTAAATCAAAGGTGAAGTGACTGTAGGGGCAAATAGACTCTTCCTCATGGTTTGCCGGCTGCAGATGTGAGGTGGGCAGTTGGGTGCTGTCAGTGTGAAGGGACCCTTCTGTTTTCTCCTCTCCCCCTCCCTCTTGTGTGGCAGGGGAGAAGCCTGGAGTGAGGGAAAGGCTCCCTCCCTGGGGAGAGGGAGTGAAAGCTAGGCAGAGCCACTGCCAGAGTGATCCCGCCTGCCTGCCTGCCTGGCAGAGCATCTCTCCACCCACCCCCTCCTCTCATACCACCCTGCTCCTTGGCTTGACAAGAAACTTCACAACGCAAATCCCCTCAAACTGCCATTGCTGAGCAAAACCAATTCAACCATCAGCATGGGAAATCCAGGCTGAGAGATCAGGCAGGGGAAGGAAGGTCGGCAGTTTTGTTTTCCAGCTTTATGGCTGAGTATGGGAAATACGAGGTGTTGAAGTATTAGAGGAAAAGTGTCTGCTGAAGGCGTTCAGAAGGGCCAAAGCCGCACCACTGAAGGCAGGACTTTCAGACCTGCTCCAGGGCAGAACTGGAGGATGCTCAGTCCGGTGTGCACAGCTGCAGAGCACCGCAGCAGAATCAAGTTCTGAGTTCACACTAGTAACACTTCAGAGTTTTCACCTGCCAGGCAGCCAGAGCAATGCCTTACATCCGAGTTTACCTTCTCCTTGTAATACTCAAGCCTTAAAATCATCATAATGCGCTCTCAGTCTTAATGCTAAGTTTTGCTCCAGGCTCCAAGCTAGTGCTACAGGTTTATCTATCAATTTACATCTGCAGGTCTTGGTTTTGGTGCACGCACTTAACAGCTCTGTAGTTGCAATGCCATTAACCTGACTTTTAGCCTGGGCAGCACCCACCCAGCACGTTGAAGACTTGACCTATTCTAAATTACTTAATTCCAGTACCTGGATATGCTAAGCTGCATTAGCATCATTCTCTGCTTGGCCTATTTTACTCTGTTCAGACATAGGGAATTGTAAAATCCCCAAGAGCATGTGGGCATCTCATGTGCAATCTAGATGGAATTTAGGTGCTTAAGTATAGAAGGAACAGCCTAAATTCTGAAGTCCTTAGGGATCTGAGAGACTTTGAAAGCTTTGAGTTTCACCATAAAGCGAAAACGGCCACCTCAGCTTTGCTGCGTGTCTCTGGGCTTGTTCCCCACGGAAGCTGTCTGGGATTTACACACCAGGGATCCCTGTGCTGAAGACTTGGAGGAATAATTCAGCAACAAAGTACATGCAACACAACACATATAGCACAAGGCTCATTAGTACTCACAGTCTTCTCAGGGCACCTTTGTCCTAAAAGCTTAGTCCTCCTCTGTGAAACGGATAAATCAGTTCCCTCCTCTGGTTTCAGAGGCTTGAATATATGTTTTTCCTGTAAAAGCTTTTTATTCTGCATGTTACAGAGATGCTTTGGGATAAGGAAAACGGCATAACAGAGAGAAGCTTTCCTCTCCACTTGAAGCTGGATTACTCCACACCTAAATCACAAGATTAGAGGGATAAAAACCAACTGGTATCTGACTCTCTAGTGTGGTGCTGAAGGGAGCTCTTGGCCCAGAAGTTGTTAATATATTTTGCAATGAACAGCTATGGCATAGAAAAAAAATCTGCAGGGGTAATGGTGGTTCAGTACTGGCCACTAGCTACAGCTTCAAAATGTGAAGTAATGTCACAGAGATGCTGCTCGGGGTTATAGTTATTACTTCAGATAAACAAAATCCCTGTATCTGGGACCATGGCCCCACATCAGGGTTCCCCGCTGTCAGCATGCTGGGTGTTAAGCATTTTGTTCTTAGTAAATCTGCCTCCACCACTGAACAGAGAACTTGGGTATGAAATTCAGCACCAATTCTGCTGTCACAGACACAAACCTTATTTTTAAGGGAGACTGAGCACTACTGAGAGTTAGGTGGCTTCATTAGCCTACAGCAATGCTCTAGTTCCCAAGTCCTGATGTCAGGAGCTAAATGGAGCCAAGATAGAGCAGAGGAGAGCAGAGAGGGAATGTCTATTTTTCCATCAGAGAACAGATACTGTAGCTCACAGTATTGTCCAAGTGGAGATTTCAAGAGATGCTACAACCTAATAATTCCCATCCTCAGAAACCACTTCTTTGTACTAAGCTACTTCTTGACTGAGGCTGGCTTATGTGTAGTCACTTTATCTGAAAAATTCCCCCAACCCACTCCATGTTGCTCCAAAGTCTGTAAAAACACAACGGAGTCCGCATGTATTCATGGCACAGATAAGTACTAGGAGGTGGAACAGTCCACCAGTTCTTCTCCTGAGCTTATAAAATTCGATGACAGAAATTGCTGGCCTGAAAAATCTGAGCAGCTAAGACAAAAAGGTTGTGAGGTTCCTGTTTAAACTGGACAGCTAGGAAGGCATGAGTTATGGGTAAAGGGAAGCAAAAACAGGCACGAGGGACTCTGAGTCTTATCAGGGTGAAGAGAGACTGATGGTCCAAAGCTTGATCCAATGAAAAGAGCACATAGAGTCATTGAGGCTGGAAGTCACCTCTGAAGATGTCCAAGTCCAAGCCCCCTGATCAGAACAGGGTCAGCTACAGCAGATTGCTCAAGGCCGTATCCAGTTGGGTTTTGTATATCTCCAAGGATGGAGACGCCACAACAGGTGGAGCTCCTCTGCAGACATCTTGCTCCTGTGCCCCTTTGTGGTCTCATTCAAAGTCTCATAGAGTTTTTGAATAAAGATACCATGTAACTCAAGAAACCAAGCACCTACTCATGAGCTGTTCAGTACAGACATCTTTCACTGAATGTTCCTTGGCAGCAGATAGTCACCTGAGTGTAGTTGTTTGCTGCAATGCCTCTCAAGCCTTGGGTATCAAGTGAGTATCAATTTAATCTAGGAAGGTAGGATATATACAATATTAATTACAAAAGAAAGTTCTTCTATCAGAAAAGGCTAGAAAAGGACAGATATCGTGTCTCAAAAACATGCCTAGCAATAAGTCTTAAACAGATTGATCAAATCAGTGGAGTCTGTTCAAGAAAGAGAGGTTACCATTTGATCCCAATTTGGGGAAGATATATCTGCTAGAGTCAGCAAAAGAGAGAGTAAATCCTGTGACAGAAAGAAGATCGGTGCATTCCGACAATTAATCCAGTATAGTGCACACAGAATCGTAATATCAGTAAATTAAATGATGCCAGATCACCACAAAGATGCTGGAATTTGACTGTTCACCTTGTTAAATTCACAGAGCAGTTGTTGGCACTGTTTTGGGCTGGGGTAACTAGCACTGTCCTAAGTCATTCCCAGGCACAGGTCAGCTAAAATGGGCTCAGGACCATTCCCGATATGGCAGTAAGGACATTGATTTTGAGGGTAAGGTGACAGTGTTTAGTTCCCTGGTACAGATGTTGCCCATCGGTCTTGTTCTCATCCTGGATGCAAACATTTAGCTGAGAAATAGATTCTCAAGGTGCCGTCATTGGATGAGAAGTAACTGTTTTAAAGATTACTTATATATAAATATATATATATCTTATAATTCTGATAAAGACAATTCTTTGGAAAGTTCCTGGCCTGTGTCACGTAGTCAGCTCACCTAATGTTTTGGGGTTTTTTTTTAAATCATGACAGAGGGCTCAGTTCAAAGAGCCTGACATCACCCAATCCAAGTCAGTTGTCCTGCTTTCCCACTTGTTGCATGGTCCATCCTCTCACTACTGAAATAAGGTATTACATTTCTTCAGGCAAGCAAAGAGAAAACAGAGGCAAGATTAAAACATTTTGCTGAGAATTTAACGACTCCCTGAAGACCCCATTGGCTACATCAAGAGCCTAGTCCTCTTCCAACTTTTGTGGGCACCTTAGATTACACTGTGGATATTTCATGCTGGTTTAGATGGCATTTAATTTATTGTGAAACCCTGAATTTAGCATTCACATGGGGTAGGATTACATCAACAGTTCAGTTACGAAATGGAAGAAAAGAAAATAAATGATTAAAACCAGAAGAGTTGACTGATCCCAAATCCAGTGCATTATTCATGCGGTGTTTAACAATAGCAAGTTGTACCCAGCATTATCTTTCCGCACGTCGGATCAATCTAGATTATCTGTTTACAACCAAAGCACAGTCAAAGTTTATACATCTTGACAGACACAGCTTTTGGGGATCATATTTTAGAACTGTTTTGTGGAACTTCAATTTAAGGAAGTGCTCTTTAAATTAGACAGACAGAAGAATAAAGTTGCTACCTCTCACTTCTGAAAGGTTACATGAAACTTAAAATTAATTCACCGTGAAAACATATATACGTATTTGGTATAAATATATACATATATATAAACCAACTTCCTATCATTGATGTAAAACAAGGTATGGGTTGTGTAATTACTTGATGCTACCAAGTTAGAATGTACCACAACTTTTTCTTCCTTTCAACAGAAAAAAAAAAAAAAAAGAGAAAAGAGTATTCTGAATCTGTAGGACTAAGGGAATTGTTCTGAATTATCAGTTTACCAATACGTGGTAGTTTAATTTGCAGAGAGTTTTGGAGCCAGTGATACTGTGTTTGGTTTGGTACCATATATCAATATTGTTGATATCTCCTGATATGTGGAGAGGACTATGAATCTATGTCTGTATCTGCACAGAAGTCATGTCTATCAAAAATAGTCCTGTACCATTTAGAAGAGGATCATGGCTTTGCTATTCCTCTTTACCTCTGGCTGCTCTGTCCAGATCTTCTCTTCCGTGAAGATTCTGAGACCTCAAGCTGAGCAGAGTACTGGAAACAACTTATTTGGACAGTCCCTTTTGGGTGCCTTCTCCTTGCTTCAAAACAAGTCTGTCATGATGCACACTCAAGCTTTTTTATTAACAAATGCCACCTTTCTCAAACTCTGTGGAGGAGATGACTTCATAATTTTCTCCAGGAATTCCTACAACTTCTTTCCATTTAACTATTAGCCTATTTCTGCAGTCTTTCTTACTTTTGGAAGCTCATCTTTGAACCGAGACCTCTAGTTGAGCTTCCAGCTTTCACCTCCATTTATGAAAACCAGAATCAGCATTTAAGTTGAATTCTCAGAGTCTGCTCATGATGTTGTATGTTATGTTTTCAACAACCAAATCTTGTTTAAGC